TTTGTTGCCCTCAACACAGAGAAACTAAAGCAGATACTTTAAAGCAACTGAGGCCAATAGGAGAAGGGGACCAGGAACTGGAGAAAAGGTTAGTTCGAGAAGAATTAACTTAGAAGGTAACACACATGCACAGGAAATCCATGCGAGTCAACTCCCTGTATAGCTATCCTTGTCTCAACCAGCAAAAACCCTTGTTCCTTCCTATTATTGCTTATACTCTCTCTTCTACAAAATTAGAGATAAGGGCAAAATAGTTTCTGCCGGGTAGCGAGGGGTAAGGGGGGGCAAGAGAGGAAGTGGGGGGATAAGGGAGGGGGTGGAGGAACAGGGGAGAAATGACCCAAATATTGTATGCACATATGAATAAAAAAAAAAGAAAAAAGAAAATGAATGCAGCATTGGGAGCACAGCACTGAACTCCATCTGTCCTGAGCATGTGCAGTTTTTCCTCAGTAGCTGAGACTTGGAGCCATAGACCCGTGGAAATCAAGGGTCTACTGTACATCAAAATGTTACTGTAATGGGATAATAGGTAATGTTTATTTCCTTTTCTACCCATATTTTCTCACTTTTTAAAAATAGTAAGCACAGCTGGGTGCCAGTGGCTCACGCTTATAATCCAAGGTACTCAGGAGGCAGCGATCAGGAAGATCGTGGTTTGAAGCCAGCCCAAGTAAATAGTTTGCAAGACCCTATCTCAGAAAAACCCTTCACAGTCTATGGCCATATCACTCTGAATGCGCCCGATCTCGTCTGATCTCGGAAGATAAGGAGGGTCGGGCCTGGTGGAGTGGCTCAAGGTGTAGGCCCTGAGTTCAAAACCCAGTACTGCAAAAGAAAAAAATTAGTAAGTATAGTATTGGCCTTATAACTGCATACATAAAGACACCTCCAGGCAAGGGTGTCTCCTGCCCTTCCCATCATCAGTGCCTCCCCTCGTCCCAGGGGCCTATAGAGGGTGCTGCCAGCCCACTCACCATCCTTCTGACCTGCATATCCCATCAGCCAGGCCCAGCCCACCTACCTTCCTTTCCCCCTGCAGCCTGGGGCCACGAGTTACCTTCTTCACACCTGAAGTCAGGGAAGGCCACGTCTTGTAGGGGGATCTGCCTCAAGAAGTCTGGGTTCTGGCACCTCGGGTTGCCAGTCACAATCTTCCTCTTCCGCAGCCAGTCACCCAGCCAGGCCAGCTGGCAGTTACAGTTGAAGGGGTTAGCCAGGAGGTTTCTGGAAAAGTCAGGGTGTGTGGTCATGAAGACACTCTGCCGGTCTCAGCAGACCCGGCAACGTCTCCCCTGCCCACCACTGTAGGATCTGCCACACACTGGCCACACAGCCACCCAAAGCTCCTTCCCAGACAAGTGACAATCACCCAGAGGACTGGTTTTCAGGACCACAGACAGAATTCAGAGCGGTGGAAACCAGGTTTCAACAAACCAAGAAAACCCCAGCTTCCTTCAAGGGAGTTCTTCAAAAGTAACACCCAGGGATACCTCCTCTAGGGTGGTGGCAGGGGTCCCAGAATCCAGATGGTGACTTCCAGAGCCACCATCCTGTCTGTCCTTCAAGGCTGGGACTTACAGCGTGGAGAGGGCCTGGAGGGTGTCGAAGGCCCCAGGAGAGATGGTGGTGATATGGTTGTCATAAAGCGAGAGGAGCCGGACGTTGCGCAGCCCTGTGAAGCTGTCATTGTGGATACAGCTGATGCGGTTGTTCCTCAGCATCCTGGAGAGGAGGAGGTGGTGAGAGAGGAGGGGAGCCCTGTGCCGTGTCCTACCTCAGTCTGCTTGTGCGCTGTGGAGACAGCCATGATGCTTGCTCCTCCAAAGGCACCAAGCCACCCAGGCCATGGTCTTGAAAGGCAGTCTGCACACCTGTGCTCACCTCCAGAAGATCTCTCTCCGAGGGCCCTCGTGGCTCTGCCACTCCTCTCCATCCTAACATCATGGTCCCTGGCATTTCACCTTCCCTCCCTGGATGCCCAGGGCTGCTCCCCAACTCCAGGCCATGCTCTACTCTCTACCCACCGGCAAGCTACTCTCCAGCTTCAAGCCCATTAGTGGCTTTCAAGTTGCCCACAGAAACACCTTACTGTGACCTGTGAGACCACATCCACCCAGCCCCAGCCTATCTTCTTAGCCCAGCAGCTGCCTCTACGCTAGGGGTCAACAGACCCTCACGCATGCCTTGCCTCAGAGTGGCCACGCCTGGCCCACTATGATATCTTTCTGCAGTGTTCTTCCTCCTCCTCTGAATCTAGAAGAGTCTCTGTTCATCCTCAGAGAACTCACTAGATTTCCCACCCCAACCAAAATCAAAATTAGACGTCAAGCCAACAGAGTTGGTAATTCCTGAAAAAATGAAAACGGTCTGAGATCATTCATGAACCTTGCTGAACTCATTAGTAATCAGGGTATTTAAGCAATGCTGGATTTCGGCCTGTCAAATTGACAAAGAATTAGATACATAATAATTCATAACAATAATAATAATGACAGGTTCAGCAGAGTGTGGGCAAAAGGGCACTTTCACACACAGTTGGAAGAATAAAACCTGGGACCTCCCTGGACATCTCTACAAAGTTGCTACAAAGCCACCTTCTCTTCCACCAGCTGGTCTACTCTGAGGACTTCACCATAAGGAAATACTCATGGGTGGACTCAGAACTTGTGATAAAAATATTAATCACAACATGCTCAAAATTTAAAAATTAGAAACAGCCTAAATTTCCAGTAATTATATCATACATAGTCTTTAAAAATTGTTGGGCACCTGTAATTGTTGGGCACTTGTAAGTAACAAGGCCTGTAATCCTTGTTACTTAGGAGGGAGAGATTGGAGAAAAAGTTCCATGAGACCCTATCTCAAAAAACCCTTCACAAAAATAGGGCTGGTGGAGTAGCTCAAGGTGAAGGCACTGAGTTCAAGCTGCAGTACTGAAAAAAAAAATTATGCTGTGGTTTCCTAGTGCTTACCACAGGCTGCATACTGTCTGCATAGAAAGAGGAGAAAAAGGAAACCTATCCCATATACACTTCAACCCAGGCCCTGTGCCTGGTATGTATTGTGATTAGGGAACCATGGGGTGAGGGAAAAAAAAGAAAAAAATTTATGTTGTATAAGGAATTTTAATGACAGGTAAAGGTGCCCACATACATTTAAGGAAAAAGCAGATCACTGAATAAAAGTTATTATAGGATTCTATTCAATATACCTAGAAGCTGACTCTACTGGGGCACAGCCTGTAATCTCAGCATTAGGGAGGCTGAGACAGGAGGATCTCAAGTTCAAGGCCAGGCTTGGTTACATAGAAAGACCTTGTTTCCAAAACAAAATTAATATGAGATATATATATATATACACACACACACACATATAGACATATATATATATGTATTTCAGTTACACAAAATGAATAGGTCCTGAAGATTACACTACAGCATGGTGCCTGTAGTAAGCAACACCATATTAAGTACTTAAAATTTGCTAAGACTTTATTTCCATTTCCTGCTTGGGGAGTAAGAAATGTTTCCCCTTTTTTCCCTAATTTGTCTTGTTACTAAAATAAATCCTTGCTAAAACTTAAAAAAAGTTTGCTAAGAGGGTAGATTCTATTTTGGTGTTCTTAACACTCTCATTGTAATAATAATAAGGAAGACAGGCCAGAGACAAACGTGTGGAGAGAATGGTGTTTGTGGTATGGCTGATGGTGGTCACACAGATGCGTCTGTATGTACTTGTGTGCACGTGCGTATGTACGCATGTGTAGAAATGACAGGAGGGAAAGCTGTTTCTACAACAATTTACCATATTATTTGGGTGGAGCTGAGGTTCTAGGCACTTCTTTTTTGGGGGTGGGGGGCAGGGCCTCATGCTTGCTAAGCATGTGCTCTACCACTCAAGCCCCCACTCTGCCAGACCTTTCTTGTGCTGGGTATTTTCAAGGTAGGATCTCCTGAATTTCCATGGGCTGGCCTCGAACTGCAATCCTCCTGATCTCAGTCTCTCAAGTAGCTAGGATCACAAGCATGAGCCATGGGTGCCTGGCTCTGGGTACTTCTTATCTGCGTCTGCACCATCCCTGCACTGGCTTCTTTGATCCTCTCCTAGTCTTCCTCAGAAAAAACACAAGTGACTGGCTGAAGAGCACCCAGCACCCAAGGAAACTATGCAAACAGAAGAGTGAGACAGTCAGACAGGAACAGCTTGGAAAGCTGGCCACGCCTTATTCACAAGTGAAAAAAAGCAAGCTGCAAAACACTGTGCCGAGTAAAATCCCCTTTTGGTAAAACAAACAAAAATACATAGGGAGCCTGTCACACATCCACTTACCTTCCACAAATACAGCAAGATGTGCTCAGAAGACAAATGCATACCCTGCTGCAGGACAGGGATTTAAACACTGGGCAGGTGGGTTTCCCATACAGTAGCCACTACCCACATGTGGCCATTTACATTTAAATGAATTGAAATGAGATAAGTGCTTCATGTGACTCCCAGACTGGACAGTGGAGAGGGAGTGTCCCATCAGTGTGGGAAGGCCTGGGCAAGCAGCCCTGTCTACCAGATCCTAAATGTACACAGGGTCACTTGAAGTCAACGCAACCTGGATGGAGAGGGGGCTCCCTGTAGTGTTGGTAGAAGGGTGATGGCTCCAGGGTTCCACTGAGCTCCTGGGGTTTGGTGAGATCTGGCTACCTTTGAGTCATGGATCCCGGAATCCCAGACATGGCATAACATCTCTGTCCCTCATCTACACCTGAACCTGGGCAAGGTCGCCTCATGGCCACCAGTCCTCCTGCCAGCAGTCATGCCATGCTCCTGCAGCCTGACCACAGGACAGTGTGGTTGGGGGGGGGTACCTCCCAGAGGGCCCAATTCCTCCATGCCGTCACCAAGCATTGGCCCACATCTAAAAGAACAAGAGGTCGGGCCTCACCACAGTTACCAACATGGGATCACCTGTCCCACCATTCAGAACCTTCAGTAGTCCCTATTCTCCTGCAGGTGGTGTGCTAGCAGGGCATCTCCCACCTGCCTCACCCTGTCCCTTCAGTGCACACCCACCCTGGCACTGTTCCCCCAGCCCCACACACTCACAGAGTCCTCAGGCCATCCAGACCCCGGAACATGCCGCTCCGGATGGACTCCAGCTGGTTGGCCGTCAGATGCAGCTCACTCACCGAGGCTGCACCCTCGAACACCCCATCTTCAATTTCTGACACCTTATTGTTGCTTAGATTGCTGGGAGAGGGGGCAAGGAGAGAATTTCTAATCACTGCACCCAGGATCCTCCTCCCTTCCTGACCCCATCATCCCCACGCATGGGAGCCCCAGTCCCCACCCCAGTCTTTTCCCTCTCCATCTGGGGCCAGCATCCTGACGGGCTCCTTCCCACCACCGGGCAACTCACATTTTCTTCAGATGTGTAAGTTTCTTAAACATCCCAGTGGCCTCCAGGATAGAAATCTCATTGTTGTTCAGTCGTCTGTAAGAAGCAGAAGAGAACACACACCAAAAAATGGCAGGAATGAAAGTAACATCCGAGTTGAGACTGGGATGCAAACAGAAGGGACTGCAGGAGAATTTCTCTGACAAGGCCCAATGACCTCATTTCCCAAGAAGGCTGGGCCTGGGATGGGGAAGGCGAATAGGGTATTTTTGGACATTAACAACACCAAGAAATTTGCATAAGTGATAGGTATGTGCAGGTGTCTATATACATACATGTATATGTGCAAATTCTTTGTTTGTTGTTTGTTTGAGACAAGGTCTTGCTATGTAGCCCAGGCTGACCTAGAACTTGTGATCCCACTGCCTCAGCCTCCCAAGTGCTGGGATTATAGATGTGTACCACCACACCCAGCCTCATTCACATTTTTAGATAAGGAAAAATAATAAAGGTTGGCTTGTGCCTCAACTTGAGCTCATGGAATTGTGTCCCCTAAAGGAGACAGAAGCACCAGGTGCCGGTGGCTCACGCCTATAATCCTGGCTACTTGAGAGGCTGGGATCAGGAGAATCATGGTTTGAGGACAGTCCAAGCAAATAGTTCAACACACTTCCATCTCCAAAATAACCAGGGAAAAATGGATTGGAGGTGTGGCTCAAGCCATAGAGTCCACCTGCTTTGCAAGGGCAAAGCCCTAAGTTCAAATCCTAGTACCACAAAAAGAAAATGAAGACCAAAGCATCGCTGAGCAAAGTCACCCCCGGTTCAGGCTGGTGACCAGCCATGGGTGCCAAAGACTTCTTTGTGGGAGGCTGAGGCAGAGGTAAAGGGCCAAAGTCGGCAGCTATCATGTTCTGGGTGGTACCTCCCGTGGTCCCCAAAACAGAGCCGGCTGAGAGGAAAGCCTGGAGGGTCAATGGGTGCCAGGGGTGGGGGAGTTGTGCAGGGGCCCTCACAGCTCAGCTGTGGACTGGGGAATGCGCTCAGGGATCTTGGAGAGCTTCAGGCTGGAGCATTCCACCACGCTGGCCTCACAGCGGCACTTGTGGGGACAGGCGACATCGCTGCTGCACTCGCTGTTCAACTGGTAATCTTCCGTGCCTGTATTAAGAAGCAGGTCCAGATGATGGCTGAGGCAGGTTCCAAGCAACTGTGGCCATCCCAGCAGCTCCCAATGCCCCCAGCCAGGCCACCCACTGCCACCATCCCCAGAGGCTGGCCGGTGTCCCTCCATTTTCCTACCTGGAATGAAGTACTGCTCTTTGGCTGGGGAGAGAAGCAAACAAACCATGATGTAGGAGCAGCCATGCTTGGCCCTATGTCTCACCAAAGGCACCCCAAGAATGCATCTGGAGCCCACATGGGGTTTCCCACCCTCCAAGTCCATCTGTCCAGTGCCTGTGTGAAGAAGCTCTTACACCAGGGCACTGGTGCCTCCTCCCCAGGCCAGCGCTGGGCAGCACTACACCCAATTAAGCCTCTGACACTGACTCAGGAGGACGCTGGCCAACCTTATGGGTGAGCACTGGGCAGGGTGGCACCAGGCCTCAGGATCAGGACCCATGCTCAGAAACCAACCCGCATTGTCCCCTGTCAGAGGCTGAGTACACTGCACTCGCCAAGGGTACTTTGTCCCAAGGTTTGAAGGAAGCTTCTACCTCACTGTGAGTGTTCTCAGACCTCCCAAGTGTTCCACAGGGCTTGAGAGGAGTGGCACACGAGGGCTAGCCTGGGAGCAGAGTGGCCAGGCGCTCCCTCTGGGCCTTCAGTGAGCCCCACCACTCTAGACCACAGAAAAATGAGGGGTGAGACAGAGCAACCATTTCCATCCAAGTCTACAGGGCATAGCTCACATCCTCCAGCAAGGGTCCAAGTGTTTGAGGACACACTCCTTGGAGCCAACCAAGAAACATCCCAGGTCCCCAGCCGACCAAGTACAGACAGGTGGCTGCTACCTGAGCATCGGAACTTCTTGCTCTTGATCTGACCGATGCGCTTGTTGGCGAGGCGCCGGGGGCTGGCACAGCGGGCCCCGCTCGTCTCGATGGGGTTGGTACGCAGGAAGTCTGCCAGCCACTTGAGGTTACAGTCACAGATGAAAGGGTTCTGGGCCAGATGCCTATTTGAAGGGAGCAGATTGGCTGTCAGAAACCAGGGCTGTGCACCTGCACCCCACATCCACCTGGACAGGGTTTCGTGGCAAACTGGGGCTGAGGCAGATGCTCCCCAGCACCCGTGCGCCCTGGTTTCTCCCTCTCCTGCACAGTTGGGCAGGCTCAGCCATCATCCGGGAGGGGAATGGGACCAGATGGTAAGGCTGGGCCTGCTGGAGTCCCTGGGTTGCAAGGGGAGTCACCATTCCCAAGCTGCCTCCCTTTGCTAGTTTAAAGGTCATCTCTCAACAAAAGGAGCTACGTTCTGGGGAATCACTCAGTTCCCCGGCTGGCTGGCTACCATATCACTAACGATGATGTGGTGATGCTGTGTGGAGCAGCTGACAGGTAATGGAGTACCCATAGTCACCTTCCCATTTATAGGTCCTGACCATTCCAGCAGGTTCTGACAAGCCACATCTGAGCCACACCAGCAGCTGGTCTGTCTACCTGTCTACCTGGGTCACCACCCAATTGGGCATGTCCTGCTCAGGCTGTCTGAGATGAGACAGCCAGGGAGAAGTATTCTTGTCCCTATCCTGGATACCATACCTGAGCCAATGTTGGCACACACCATATAGAGACACAGGGCCGGAGCCAGCTCAGAGGCACTACCATGCATGGCTACTTCTCCTCCATCTGAGAGACATCTGTTCAGACCATCTGACTTGGCCTCAGTCCAGCCCCTGGAGGGGTTGTAGACCTCTCTAAGCCAAATTGTGAACTCTGGCCCAGGGTCTGTGCCCGGCTTAGTCTAGACCTTGGCCACTCTATCCCCCCTCCATCACCTCCTGGGTCCTGCCATGTGGTCCTGACTTGGGATCTGGTCAGAACCTCCCCTGGCTCCTCTCAGCTACACCAGGTGAACCAGGCCCCTCCTACTGTTCTGCAACCAGCTCAACATTTATTCCCATGTTAAACTGTCAGCTAGCACGGGGCAGATGTGTGTGCTGGTTCCCAGGGAAGAGCATGTAGATCATTTAAAATATGGCAGGACATAAAGGAAATGCAGATCAAAACTACATCAAGGGCAGAGTATGGTGGCCCACACCTGCAATTCTGCCACTTCAGGAGGCAGAAGCAGGAAGATTGGGAGTTTGAGGCCAGCCTAGGCTACATAGTGAGATCCAGCTCAAAACAAACAAACAACAACAAAACTACATGGAGATTTCATCTCACCATAAGAATTACTATCATGAAGAAAATAAACAATAACAAATGTTGCCCAGAATTTGGAAAAAAAGGAACTCTTATACATTGTTGCTGGGAATGTGAATTAGTGCAGCCACTATGGAAATCAGGATGGAGCTTTCTCAAAAACCTAAAGACAGAGCTACCATGTGACTCAGATATACCACTTCTGGGCATGTACCCAAAGGAATGGTGGCCAGCATATAATAGAGATACCTGCACACCCGTGTTTACTGCAGCACTACTCACAACAAGCAAAATATAGAATCAGCACAAATGAATGAATAAAGAAAATGTGATGTAATACATACACAGATCTATATGTGTGTGTATATATAATGGAGTGTTATTCAGTCATAAAGAAGGAAGAAATTATGACATTTTTCAGGAAAATGGATGGGTCTGGAGGTCATCCTGTTAAGCAAAAAACCTAGACTGAGAAAGACAAATAAAATGTTTTCTTTCATATGCAGAACCTAGATCTAATAAAACAAACTTACAGATCAATAGAATCAATACTGTGAAAATGGCTATACTATCCAGAGCAATCTAGACGTTCAATGGAATCCCCATCAAAATCCCAATGACATTCCCTTTAGAGATAGAAAAATCAATGCTAAAATTCACACAGAAACGCAAAGGACTGCAAATACTGAGCAAAAAGAACAACGCTGGAGGTATCACCGTTCCTGACTTCGAACTATCCTGCAGAGCTATAACAATAAAAACAGCATGGTTCTGGCACAAAAACAGATATGAAGACCAGTGGAACAGAATAGAGGACCTGGATATGAATCCACATAGCTACGCCCATCTAATTTTTGACAAAGAGGCCCAAAACACATGATGCAGAAAAGACAACCTCTTCAACAAATGGTTCTGGGAAAACTAGATATCTACATGCAGAAAACCGAAACTAGATCCATGCCTGTCACTCTGTACAAGTATCAACTCAAAGTGGAGAAAAGACTTTAATATAAGACCTGAAACTTTGAAACAACTACAGGAAGTAGTAGGAAATACACTGCAACATATTAGGCATAGGTAATGACTTCCACAATAGAACCCCAATGGCTCAGCAAACAAGAGCAAGAATGAACAAATGGGACTGCATCAAACTAAAAAGCTTCTGCACAGCAAAAGAAACAGTCACTAGACTCAAGACACTGCCCACAGAATGGGAGAAAATCTTTGTCAGCTATTCTTCTGTCAGATATCCAGAATCTACAGGGATCTCAAAAACCTCAACCCCCAAAGAATTAACAATGAAGAAATGGGCACATGAATTGAATAGGGAATGTCCAAAGGAAGAGGTACAAATGGCCAGTAAATACATGAAGAAGTGTTCAGCTTCCCTGGTTATAAAAGAGATGCAAATCAAAACTACACCAAGATTTCATCTCACCCACGTAGAATGGCCATCATCAATAAAACAGACAACAACAAATGTTGGCGAGGATGTGGGGAAACAGGAACCCTTATACTCTGTTGCTGGGAATTGTAAATTAGTACAACCATTATGGAAAGCAACATGGAGATTCCTCAAAAAGCTAAAAATAGAACTGTCATATGATCCAGTGATACTGCTCCTAGGCATCTACCCAGTGGGACCTAAATCAGGGTACAATGGAGACACTTGTACAAGTATGTTTACTGCACACTGTTCACAATAACCAAGCTAAGGAAACAACCCAGATGCCCTATAACTGATGATACTCCATGTGTATATATACACAGTCTCAAAAACAAAACAGTGCAAAATAACCTGGAAGTGTGGCTCAAGTGGTAGAGCATCTGCTTTGTAAGCGTGAAGCCCTGAGTTCAAACTCCAGTCCCACCAAAAAAAATGATCCTGACTGTACCTTGGATTTGCATGTCTTTTATTCTTCTTTCAAGTTATTTTCAGTTAATATACAGTATGTGCTCATGGAAGTCCAATTTTGCTTTAAATAATGGGTCTGTTCTTACAGAAGGAGCACAATAATGGGAAAGCTAATTTCTCACTGAAGTTAAGAGATGCCTCAGGTCAAAGCTGTGCTCCAGGAGCTGTTCTGTGATGTTGGAGGAATCACATCCTCCTCTGTCTTGGTTCCTTACTAATAAAATCAGGGATGATAGACACCACCTCCACAGGGTAGTTGTAAGTGCTGAGCAGGGTACCACCTGCAAGGAGTAGTAGCTCATATGAGTTGCTCCACTCCATTCCCCATCCCAGGCTTCCCTGGGTATGGATCTCTGCCATTAAATCTCCTTGCATGTTCTCTCAGATGCTCTGCCAGCTGCTTAAAATAACCCACCTTGCCACTGTCTCCCTGGAACCTCTCATTTCTCATACTTGGTGAGGTTTCCCCCCACGGGGCTCCATCTCCCTCTCCATGGCTATAAGCAGATTAAAAGCAGGCATTCTGCTGCAGGCAAGTGTGCAGGCTTAATGAGTTTGTCCTTGTGGCCAGCATCCCTGTGATGTGCCATGTCCCCAGGGAACAGGTGCTGTACCTTTTACTCAACTTCCTTGGAACCCAGCCCTACACCTGAAGCAGATGCTCTCTGATAGTGAGCACCTCCCAGCAGGGAGGACAAGGACAACAAAGACCATGGTAATATTTACAGTCAGTGTCCATTATGCACAGCACCTGCCCCACAGCCAGCACATCCAGTCAGAATGCAGGCTGGGGAGGTACTGACGGAAGACCACCAAGTAAATGCCTCTATTCTTTTTTGGCCGTACTGGGGTTTGAACTCAGGGATTCATGCTTGCTAAGCAGGTACTCTACCACTTAAGCCACTCCACCAGCTCCCATTCAACCTTCAATCAGGATGTAGAGAGGCCACAGGAACTCATGACACGGTCCCATAGGGACGCTACCAGCCAAGACCAGACTGTGACCAACTACATGGAACCAATGCTGCAGCATCTTCAACATATGAATTGCAAGGGAAAAGGGAGATAGAGAGGACCTCTTGTTATGGTTTGAATCTGCACTGTCCCTGGCAGGCTCATGTGTTAAATGCTGGTCCTCAGCTGGTAGTGCTATTTAGGGAGGTGGTAGAAACTTTACGAGGTGGTTCCTTACTGGAGAAAGTAGGTAACTGGGAGTGGGTCCCTGGGGGAGTCTTGTCCCTGGCCCCTTCCTGTCCACCTCCCCACCCTCTGCATCCTGTCCACCATGAGGTGAAGAACCTCCTCCACACACTCCTGCCTCCATGATGTTCTGCCCAGTGCATGGGGCCAAGCACACATGCACTGAGCCCTCTGAATTCATAAGCCAAAATAAATCTTTCCTCTTTTTAAGTTGCTCACATCAGGCATTCTGTCACAGTGACAAGAAAAGTAACGAATTCACCTAGAGCTGAAAAATGACTGAAGGGACATGTACACCAGAATCAGCCATTCATATTGCATAGGACTTATTAAATCCTGAGTCCAACAGACTGCATAAAAATTGTATAACACATACAAGACATGTGGAAGTTCAAAGACTAATTAGATACATAATGATGTCAAGAAATTATTAAGCTTTTAGACATAATAACAATCTTTCAGTTTTCTGTTTGTTTGTGGTGCTGGATGGAACCCAGGGCCCCACACACACTTTGCAAGTGCTTTGCTACTGAACTCCACCCCCAGTCCCTGTGTTAGTGTTTTTAAAGATCGTTGTCTATTACAGATGTGGACGAAGTGTGAATAGGTGACAAATGATATCTGGAATATGCTTCAAAATAGTTCACATAGCATGGAAGTTGGGGGAGAGCAGAAATAAAATGAGACTGACCAAGAATTAAAGTTGAGTGGTGAACACTTGGAGGTTCACTGTGCTACTTTTAACACCATTGTAATTTTCCACAATATGGGATTACAACAAATTACTAGATTTGTTGCTTCTAATTTTTAATTTGTTATAATAATCATTGTTTTTACTATAGTTCATTTGATTTGACATAACCAATTGTAAGATGCAATATTATTTTAAGCACTATCAAAAAATCTCTCTCTAGCCAGGTGCCGGTGTCTCACACCTATAATCTTAGCTACTCAAGAGGCTGAGGTCAGGGGGATCATGGTTTCAGGCCAGCCCAGGCAAATAGCTTGAGAGACCCCATCTCCAAAATAGCCAGAGCAAAATGGACTGAAGGTGTGGCTCAAATAGTAGAGCACCAGCTTTGTGAGTGCCTGCGTTGCAAGCACAAAGCCCTGCATTCAAACCCCAGTTCTACCAGAAAAAAATCTCTCTCTCTCTCTCTCTCTGCTTCATGGCCGCCATGATGTGAGCTGCTCTGCTCACCATGCCTTTTCCACCATGATGGACATAACCCTCTGAAACTGTGAGCAAATAATTAATTCTTTCCTTGAAAAAAATGACATGCAATCCAATTTCAGAGCCATTAAGGTGCAAACATTTGTCTTAGAATCAATGTGCTCTATTATTGATTGCTATTATTAACTGTAGCCATGATGAACCATGAACTAGCCATGTATGATGAACTAAACTCCTACAAACATTCCCTTTAATCTCTAGAAGATGGCCTCATTTTCTGGATAAATAAAAGGGAAGCCCTGAGAAGCTAATTGACTTGCCCAGGGTGACACCGCAGGGAGGGAAGGAGGCAATGCAGGAGTCGGGGGAGGGTGCTTACAGGGTCTGGATGGCACGCAGGGAGGTGAAGGTGCCCTTGGCGAGACTCTGGATCTTGTTGTCGTACAGGGAGAGCAGTGAGAGGTTCTGCAGGTCCTGGAAGGCGTCGGGCCGGATGCAATTGATTTTGTTGGCATTCAGCAGCCTGTGGGCAAAACCAGGGCTGAAGTATGGGAGAAGCAGGATCTGAACTACTCCCCACCACACACACACACACACACACACACACACACACACACACACACACACACACACACACACACACACACACACACGTCCTGGCATCTTCCTGGCCCTGGCCTGCATGATCTTAGGGAGGAGCCCACAGAGCAGGCCCAGGTGAGCTGATTCCCAGCAGTCCACTCTGCACATAAGAGCTGCAACTCCAAATGCCTTCTCTGCCTGTGCACAGGGACCTTGTGGTCACCTGCTCTTCTTCCCCTCAAGGAACCGCTAGTGATGCCTCTGAGATTCCAGGAGAATACAGGGGCAAAGCTACCTCCTAAAGGCATTTTTTAGGGGGCCCCTCCCTCCTCCTTCCCAGGGTCCTGCTGGGCCCCCAGGGAGCCAGTTAGGAGCATTTGGATTTAATGTTTCCTGGTCCTAAGACATAATCCTGGCCTCAGTGCCCATGGTTCAAGGAGGCTGAGCTGGTCTGGATGCCTGTTGCAGGAGACAGACCTGTCCCAGTCATGCTGGGTGCCTCAGGAATGCAGGAGCCTCTGGCTCTGGTATCCTGCAAGTATCTTTGAACCTGCCTCTACCTCCCCATCTAGCCTCTGCAGAGCCCTGCGGCCTTGCAGAGGCTAGACAGGCTTCACCTGTCTTCCATGCTTCCGTCTCAAGTGAGTCCCATTCCCAAAAGAGGCTGAAATGAACAGTACTGGAGGCTAGAGAAATGCAGGCCTCTTCCTGAATGCCACCAGAGGACACTCTGGGACTAGTCCTTACAGGAGCTGTAGGGTGTACAGGCCTCCAAACACACCACGGGGCAGGTCTGTGATCTTGTTCCCATACAGGACCCTGGAGAAAAGGCAGTAGAAAGGGAAGGTCAGAGGGCAGGCCACCAGGGCTCTGCAGAGCTTGGCATGCTGCTGGTGCAGACGGACCACCCTCCAGGCTATTCGCGAGGAGAGCATCCTAGCCTGTGCTTGCTATGGGAGTTTGCCAGCAGATGGTGCTAAAGTGTCCGCAGGAAGGGTGACCAGCTTCCAGTCTACAGCAAAAGTTCTCTAGGGTAGAGTTGGATGTGCTCCCCCTTGCTGCAGGAGCAGCCCTGTCCCTCTGCCCACTCCGACCCCACAGAAGCCTACAAAGGGGCCTTTCCAGGGAACTTCATGGGAAATTAACCCTGTCCAAGATTCAGAAGGAGACTGTTGAGAGAAGAGAGTCACATGAGCAGTTCTGATGAACTTATTTTCAGAGAATTACAGGGAAAAAATAAAATGCCAGATAGTACACACAGTACGAAATCTAGGTGATGGGATTGCAAGTGTTTTTTAAATATATACTTTGGTATTTGGAAAGTTTTTTGTGCTGAGCATGAATGAATTCCAAGTATAATTAAGAAAATAATAGCAAAACTAAAAAAACAAATCCCCAAAACCCTTAAACAGGCAGGAATGGGTTTAAGCAGACAGTGAAAACATCAAGGGCTTGGGGAAGGGAGGGTGTGTTCTATTCCCAATGTCATAACCACATCCGCCCACACCACCCTGGAGACATTCAGCCAGAGAAAAGCTCTGTGTGTTGTCTCTTCAAGCATGGCTTCAAAATCCTTCTTGGAGGAGGGCAGGGCAGGAGCAAAGGCCCTGTGGTGGAATCACATTGGCCCATACAGAGTGCTAAAAAGGACAGCATGGCTCAGGTGGGGGAAACAAATGTGACAGTAGCTTGGATTTTACCCAGCCAGTGTGAGGAAGCCTTTGAGGCACGATCAGATTCCCCATTTCTGAAATACCACCCCAGCTTCAGAGTAAAGAAGGGAGTGCAGGGGCAGAGGTTGAAGCAGGGAGACAAGGTCAGGGCCAGCTAGCCAAGGTAGACACAGATGGTAGGATGTGTTTGCATTATCCCAGCCTGCAGATTCTGAGATGGCAAGGAAGCAGTACGACCAGGTACCCATGAGGACAGAAACCCACTTAAATGGGTTATTGTTACCTTTTATCCCTTCAGAGTGGCCAGAACCAGTGTAAGAAAACTGTATTCATATCTCAGAGGAAGAGACCTCCATTTTATACTTCCCAGGGGAAGTGGGGCTCTATTCTGTTCCACTTGCTAGGCCTCTAAGTCTATGTGATCACAGACCAGAGCAGGTGGAAACACCGTTCCTAAGAGAAACATAGGGCTCCAACCACAGAGTGCTTGCTTGACCACAGGGCACCCGTGTAGCCAAGGCACAGCAGGACCTCAGAGAGTGAGGGGCCTGGAGGGGAGGGAAAGACTGGCCAGAGGCAATGTGGGATTCAGCACTTTGGAATAAAAGATAGCAGGGTGTGGTAGGTGTCAGCACAGTAACTGGTGGTCACTGCCCTATTGGTGACCGGGGAAGGCTCTACAGGAACAAGATGACTGCCTGGAATAATATTGGGAAAATCCCCACCACGGTGGGGAAAACATTCTAGTTGTCAGGGCAACAGCCTTGCCTAGCTTTTCTTGTACTCAGTTCTCAGTTCCCTCCTCCACTCCATGCTGCAGAGGGTCCACCATGAGGAGGGGCACAGGGCATGGTAGCCTTGGTTGTGCAGCCAGAGGGGGCCCCTCTGCAGCCTGGCTGGCCAGGACTGCAGAGGGACCTGTGGCCCTGCCACTGGGGACTCCTGGGACTCTGTGTCCAGAGAATCTCACCGCTGCTATACTCACAGCGAGTTCAAGGAGCGAAGGCCCTGGAAGGCATCAGGCGCGATTTCAGCTATCTGGTTGTTGCTCAGGTCTCTGTAAGGGGAATCGGGGAGAGAGTGGCTGAATTCCTGAGCCCCACAGAGCCTGCCTGGTCCCCTCCATGTCCTAGCTGCAGGGCAGGGTAGGGGGTTCTTCGAAAGTAGAAAGTTTCTCACACAGTTGAAAACCCATGAACTGCTCTGTTCCTATGTAGTCATGGGCAGGGTCCATGGCAGGCCTCCAGCTCAGTGAGCGACTGGTATCCTAGCTGGGCCCTTACAACCCCTCACCTCCCTAACTGCTTCTGTTGAAATGGGAGGATGACAAACAGCTCTGGGCATTGGGGGCGGGGGGAACACAGCTCAGTGCCCCATTCAAGGGTCACAACAACCCTGCAAGCCAGAAGCATCACCACTATACCCAGACTCAGTCAACAGCTGACCTGGTCCAGGTTCTTCCATCCCCCCCCTTGGCCTCCCTGGAAGCACAGGGGCACTCACATCCTGCGCAGCTTTCTGTAGGGAGAGAAGGCTCCTGGGGGGATGGACTTGATCCCATTAAGCTCCAGGCGGCTGCAGAGAGAAAGTGTGGGAAGTGTGAGTCCCCAGGTCGCCCTGACCTTGACTGTGGTCTGCTGGGCTCAGATGCCAGAAACAAGCCCTGGGCCCCTCCAGGCTCTGTTCTTCCTGCAACCCCTGAGGCTGAAGTCTGGCCTCTGTGATTTAAACCCCACCATCCTAGCCTCCCATGGTTAAAAAAAGGCATATAATATAATGCCAATACTAACAAACCCATACTGGCAGATTCATCCAGCTGGGCTGGACAGATGGACTGACAAGGGACCCCCTTCCCCAGCCCTTCAGAGTTTCCTGGCCTTGAGCAGGGAGTGAGGCCCCACAGAGGCAAATGTTTTGTCCATTTGCCACTGAGAGCCCTGGGGTGGTGCCTGCTCCAGCTCTACCCTGGATGGCCAGAGCCCAGCTTGCCTGAAGGGCCTGTGTCCCAGAGCCAGTCTGGCCTCCACTCACATTTCTGTCATGGTCTCAGGCAGGTTGGCAGGGATGGCGGTGAGGCCTTTGCCACGACAGTCCACAATGCCATTGCTGCAAGTGCACATGGCTGGGCAGGAGCCAGAGGAGAGGGTACACGTGGGCACGTGCCCCGCCTCCCCCTGGTCTGTGGAAAGAGCAAGGTGTGACCTTGGGATGCCCTAAATCAGCACATTCCTCCACAGATCCACGGATGGGTGGAGACAGGTGCACAGGGGATGTTTCTGTGGATGAGGATCAACCAAAGGACATCACCAAGGACACCGGAAATGAGAGACTCTGAATTTGATGTCACTCTGTGGGCACCTGGCATACAGGAGGCCCGCCAGGTGCGTGCTGCATTCAATCTGCACAGAACTGATGAGAAAGCGAGTATATGCTAGGAAATCTGTGGCCTAGAATTCTGACACTCTGGGCTCTGGTTCACATAACTGCCCACTCTGGGTCAAAGTCCGCACTTCCTTCCCAGTAGGATAACAGCCATGTCTATTGAGCGCTCACTCCCAGCCACACACTGATTATACAGTCTCATTTACACCCTCCCTGCACAACCCAGTTGACATTTTACAGGTGTGGAAACTGAGTCCTCCATATTAATTACTTTGGAGGACTCAGTTGAATTAACAGGTAGCAAAACCAGAACCACACCCAGTGCCTGATATAAAAGCCCAAGCTTTAAAAAATTGAGATATAACTTACCTAAGTGAACTGCCTAGATGTGGCACATTTTCATCACCAAGGTCTCTCTGCCCCTTCCCCAAGGAACCACTATTCTGAGATCTAGCACCAAAGATTTGTCCTGCTTGATTGTGAACTTGACATAAATGAAATCATACAGTAGGTCCTCCAGTGTGTCTGGCTTTTTGCACCCAATGTACCAGATTTGAGAATCATCCATGTTGTGTCTATTGGTAGTTTATTATTTTTGTTGGTAGAGTGACTCAAATGGTAGAGCACCTGCCTGGCAAGCATGAGTCCTTGAGTTCAAATCCCAGTACCACCAATAAAAAAAAAAAAGACTAGTAGTTTGTTATTTTTCATTGCTGACTAGTATTCTAACATACAGCTATATTATAATTAGTGAATCCACTCTCTCATTGTGGACATTTAGGTTGCCTTCAACTTTGGGCTATTATGAACAAAACTGCAGCAAGTTTCCTGACAGTGTCCTTCTCAGGAAAGGGCTTGCCAGGGAGCCGATACGCCAGAGGAGAAAATAATGTCAGAATAAGTAAACAAATAAGCCAAGGTATTTCAAATGCAAAGGAAAAGTTTCCATTCTAAAATAGAAGTCGTCCAAGTTGTCCATCACTTTTCCTAAAAATTATGGCAGCTGTGCCACTCAGGGCTGCAGTCTCAGCCCTGGCTGAGTACATGCCTGTGTATACACGCTCACGTGCACACTCACACACTCATACACTCCCCCGCTGCCACCACACACACACACACACAAACACACACACAGAGCCCTGAGCACAGTAGTGTTCAAGCCTGGTCTCAGCATCCACCAGTGCCCTGGGAGGAGGCGCTAGCCACACCCAGAGCTTCACATAGACGGGGGGGAGGCCGAGCCCAGCAGATCCTTCCCTTCAGAGATGGGCTGGCTCAGAGTCCATTCCTGCAGCAAACATTTCTCAGCCATTTACATGAGCCAAGCGTGGGTAAAGTGCTGAGGACGAGGCCTGAAAACCCATCCCACGTACTCCCTGTGCTCATGGAGCCTGCAGTATACCTGGAACTCATCTGGAGTCAAAGAGCCTGCAGTATACCCTTGGGCCCCGTGGGGTGAGGAGGGTCAGCAGGCAGCAGAAGGGAAGGGTGTAGCCAGGAGAAGCAAGGAGCAACATGCAGGATGGCCAAGAGGTGAGGCCCTGGCTCCAGGAAAGGCCTTGGTGGCTGGGATGCAGTGAATAAGGAGGCCAGGATCAGGGGAGAAGGGCGACCCTGCTGGGACCTCCCACTACCAATGCTCACAGGAGTGCTAGAGGCTGGTAAGTGTGTGCAGCAGTGACCAGTGACCCCTGTGGCTTCTTTTAGGCTTTTCTGGCTGTGGTATGAAGCCAAAGCAGCCAGGGAGGACATGGGTGACCAACTGGGAGGCTACCTCAAGACCCCACATGAAAGAGAAAGGTGCCAGGCAGGAGCCAAGGCAGATGGACTGTCAAGGTGGCAGGGCTGAAGCAATGAGGGTGGGGGTAGGGCGGGGAGAGATGGTAAAGAAGGGGGAAAGGGACAGGGGAGGAGAAGGGAGAGGTACTGGGTAATAGCAGAAAGAGTAAAGGCTGGACAGAAGGGGACAGGTATTAATATACAGTTATGGGTGGGAATGGAGGAGCCAAGAAGCAGAGGCAGGAGAAGCGGTGAGGACAGGAGGCCATGGCAGTTAGCTGAGGGCCCTGGGTGGAACCCGTACCCACCTGAGCAGCTGAACTCACTCTTCTGGACCTCAGCCACATTGAGGCCACGCAGGCTGGCGGGGCCTGAGCACTGGGTGAAGAGCCCAATGGTTGGCCGCTGCCTCAGCCACTGTGAGAGCCAGGCCAGGTGGCAGTCACAGAACAGGTGGTTGGAGTGCAGGCGGCTGCAAGAGGACAGGGTGGCTCACAACCCACCTGGGTTTCCAGACCCGACCAAATAGGCACCTCCCCACCCCAGGCAGGGGGTCAGGCCCTGGTGCTGTGCTCAGCCCACCTGCCATTTACATGTAGTCAGCTGTGCAGCTCAGCTGCAACCTGGGGACAATCCACAGTGACACAAAGCTCCCTGTGGTTTCCTTCTCTCTCTCCCAGGCTGCACCTTTGGCTGGAGTTCATCTCACTGAGCTCACACAGACACCCTACCCAAGTTACCAACTCATTTTCAAATGCAAAACCAAGTCATTGTCCAAGGAAAAATCACATGTGAATAACACTAGATGGCCTGCAATTTCAGATCCCTTCCTGGGTGGTCTCTGACTGTGGAGGAGGGCAACCCCTTCCCGCCACAGCAGCCCCCCTCCTTCACCACCTGCCTCCGGCCACTGCCCCCATGTGCCTGTGGTGGACTCACAAGGTCCGTAGCTTGGGCATGTGGTTGAAGCTGGACACAGGAATGGTGCTGATGTTGTTGTTGTTCAAAGTCCTAAGGAGGAACCAGAGCCATTTAGCATCTGCCCAGCAGGAATTCACACAGGACAGGGCCTCTCTGCTAAAGAACAGGAGGCTGTCATGCCAGGTGCCATGGTCTACCCTTGGGCTGTGTACAGTGGGGCTACACCCAAGAACATGAGTTCCAGACCTCCGATGGGGAAAGCCATGAGCTGGGACGGTGACCGTGACCCAACTGCACTGCAGGAGTTGCTCTCCTGCTCATGTGTCCAGGCCCAGGACTGGGTGCCTGCCCCAGACAGAAGGGGCAGGCACCCGGTCTCTCTTGCCCTTGTCGGAAATTCAGCCAAATGCCACTGTCTGCTGAGGGTTTCACCCTAAGCATGTTGAGCCTACGCACACAGCTGCAGGTGTGACCCCAGAGCCCGCGTCCTCCCATCCTCAGGGCTCCTTCCTCCTGACGTCCAGCCACATCCCACACCGGCCTGGCTTTACTTACAGCACCTCCAGCCCCCGCAGGGCACGGAAGGCCCCTTCCTCGATGCAGCTGATCTGATTCTTATCCAGCTGTCTGCGAAGCAAAAGTGGGAGGTGTAAAGAGGAGGATGAGTTACCCAGAACGGGGTGTCCAAGAGTCTTGACTGAGGCACAACCCCATCATTTCTTGTGCACATGTGTCGATCCAAATAGTAAACAATATAGAAGCTGAATTCTTCTTATTTTCAATTAAAACAATACAGAGAGGTAAAAGTTATATTCTATTACTCTTCCCAACCTGTATAGCCCCTGGGGAGCAGGCACGCCACCCTCCTATTTTGGAGAGCACCTAGAGGGTGCTGGCAGATGAAAAATGAGAGAGTAACACAGGAGCGGTGACAGCTAGCGCTGGTAAACAGATTTCCAAGCAAGAGTGACCAGCCCTGGGTACTCAGAGAGCTGCTTTCAGAGCAAACTGAAGCTGAGATCTGAGCTCTGTGGGAAAGAATGTGGTGATCGATTACCAATGTCTGCTGCAGGCGTGGGACAGGGGTGTGTGACAAGCATGGGGGCAATTGCCATCCCTGCGATAGTCAGACCTTGCGGAGGTGGTAAGCCTGGACCAGAATACATTTGAATAACAATAATAAACTATCACATTTAAATAGCAATTGACAAAGTACATGCATTTCCAGATCTCATTAAGACTCCCAACAGGCCTGCAGGGGAAGATATTATTATGCCCATTTTCCAGAACAATATATGGAGGCTCAGTGAAATTGAGCCTCTTCCTCAGCTTGGACAATGTTACTGGAAGAGATTCAAACCCAGCTACCAAACCAAAAACACAGTCTTTTGGAGACCCAAAAACTGGAGGGCAATGGACCAAGAGTGTGGCATGGCACCACACAGTTCATGACCCTCTCCAGCCCTATGTCCAGAGCCCCACCAAACCATACACTGGGAGCCAGGGGAAGGGCAGGTGGGCCTGCCTTCTCCAAGCCCAGATTGTTCCAGAAGACCATGTAGGCACCAGCCACCTCAGAGCTCCTTGGCTGGCTCCTTGGCAGCCTGGACTACACAGCCTAGAGAGACCCATTAGGACATTGTCAGGGTGGCCTTTCCTACACCTGTACTCACAGATTTTTGAGGTCTGTGGCTCCTCGAAAAGCCTTCCTGGGGACAGCCTGGAGGGCATTCTCACTCAGGTCCCTGGGAGGACAAAAAGCAGCAGGAGACAAGAGAGGACACTGGTTAGGAAAGATGACTCCAGAGTGCTACCATGAGGAGGGAGGCCAGGGGGCATGATGGTGACCACATGCCATAGCTGGGGACAGGGTCTGGAATACAGTGGCCACTCAGTAAGCATTAGTTGAATGAATGAATGAGTGATGGAGCTGGGCAGAGGAGCCCTGTCCTCAGCCACCTCTTCTCTTACAGAGTTGCAGCTGGAGGAGAAAAAAAAGCCTGACACAGCTGCAACCAGCCACACAGCACCATGTGCAAAGGAAGGAGCAAAAGAGGGACCTCTCCAAGGCTGTGGGACACAAGAGGTGAGTCACTCTCCCCTGCTTATGCACTTTACTGGGGAGGAGGTCATGGCTTGGCTGGAGAAGGAGACAAGACAACCAGGGGTGGCTGACCCAGGCCTGGAGCTCCAGGCTGGGTCTGACTCCCAAGTCCCCTACTCTCTGGGACTTACTGGTAGCAGAGCACCAAGAGCGCCTGGGCAGGAAATACAGCAGGCTCAGGGATTGGCCTCATGGCCCCATGGCCACCAACCATGGGCCCAGTGCTTCTCCTGAGTCCTTGAGGACTCCATCACTCTCATTCATCAAGATCCGGTGTGCCAGAGGTGCTTCAGGGATTCCTGTGAGCCCAGGCCAACTTCCAGATGCTTCCCCCAGCAAACCTGGTAGGACTGGGCCTCTGGTACCTGTCATCTGCCTCTACCTCCCTCTCCTCACAGTCTCATTAATTCCAAAGACATTAAAAATCTTTTCAAGTTCACCCTTCCATCTCACAGTGGCAGTAACAAGTGTGTCCTGAACACCCGCACTGGGCCATGTCCTGGCACTTCACAGAAGCTACCTCAACTCCAACTGTGGCAAATATAGATGTGGTAATACCATCTCCATTTTACAAAGGAGGAAAGGGAGGCCCAGAGAAGTTAAGCAACTTCTTCAAGGTAACCCAGTTGGCGGATGGTGGCTCCCAAGTTTGAACCCTGGCATTCAGGCCCTAGAGCCTCTGCTTACCCAGCAGTGCTGGGAGTGGGGACTGTCGTCTGCCCATGTTGCAGAGAGGGGAGCTGAGCACCAGGGTATTATGTAGTGTACCTATGGCTAGGCTAGGCTGGGGCCCCGGGCCATCTGCCCCACAACCCTGCATCAGAGTCACTCTCAGGTGTGTAGAATGAATCACCAAGGGCTGACTGTCCAGACATGGGACCCAGTACCAGGCAGTACTGCAGATCCTGGCTCCTTTTCCAGAGCCAGACCTTCCCTCTGAGCATGTCCTTCCTCCAAGGGCCCAAGAATATGGTCCACAGCTCCACCTCCAGCAGGCTGTGCCCTTCCCAACAAGCCACAAATGGCCAGCGGGCACACAGGGGCCTCGAGTACAGTTCTCCCATCTCGTGAATGTGCACGGGCAAGTCAACCCTACTCCCCACTCCAGCCTCAGTTTCCTCCTATACCAAATGGGCAAATAAGAGTTTGCAAAGTGACTATCCACCCCTGCAGCAGTGAGTGGCAGTGACCAAAGGGGCTCTACCACCATGGCACCCCCATCCCTGCTCTCTCCTTGAAAGAGACACTCCTGTCTCTCCCCACACACTGTACCACCTTCCATTCTGAATGTGTCTTTCTGCGTGGTGACCAGCCTGTGTGACCTTGCATGCCTCGGCAGCTTCCCTTCTCTTGTCTGTCTCCCAACAGTCTCCACCAACCTTCCTGACTATAGCCTGCACCCTGCAGCCCATAGAACACAGCCCATAGTCAGCCTCCGCCCTCTTCTCTCTGGTCTTTAGTCTTGGCTATTTCTGCCATTTTCCAGCTAACCTGTCAATATCCTTGGGGACATTCTCTAAATTCCTCTGACCTATGCTGCTCCTAGTGCCCCACTCATTCCTTTTCTCAGCAATTCCTTCCAGCTTCATATGTCTGTTTCATTTTGTTTTTCAAGACAGGGTCTCACTATGTAGCCCAGGTTGGCTTGGAACTCAGGGTTTTCCTGTCTCATCCTCCTGCATGCTGGGATTAGAGGTGTGCACCACCATGCCTAGCCTCATATATCTTGAGAGGAGCATTTCATTACTTGCCTCATCCTTCCTGTCACTTACGCCTTTTCCTTTCTAGAAAGAGCACCTTCATTACTTGCTGCCTGTCTCCTCTAGTCTCTGCTTTGTAGCATATAATTGCCGCCATGTGGCACAGCCCTAACGGCCCTGTTGTTCTCTGGATCTGTGGACCTGTCTAACACCCTTCTTCGATGGGCTCCTGGCCCTGAACAAGGTGAGGTGACAGGTAAATTACTAGATTTGGAGTGGGGGCCATCCAACCCACAAAGATAAAAAGAGACTGTTTGCACTTGGAGGTTCATAGCCAGGAGAGTAACTAGAGCCCAAGGCAGATGTGAGAGGCCCATAGGGAACCAAGCCCACCTTGGGGGAGCACCGACCTGTAGACACCAGGGGCAGCTGGGTCCACAGTGGGCAGTGGTGCAGAGCTAACTGTGCACAGTCTGCTCTGAGAGCTTGCACCCAAGAGAGGGCAGAGACAAGAAGCAGGGGATGTGCCTTGATTCCTCATTCTACAAATGTGTACTGAGAGCTCGTGGTCTGTTGTCCCCTTCCCCCCCAGACGCTGACACAGTGTCACAGAGCTACACACCAGCTTCCAGTGATCTCTGGCAGAGCATCTTTTCCAGAGCTGTGAGAGCAGAGAGGAGTTAGCAACTGTACTGAGGGAGGTGGGTGGTCTGTGATGCAGATCTGGAACGTTCCACGTTTGCCAGGCAGACATGGGAAATGAAGGGCGCATTCTAAGCAGTGTGAGCCTCTTGTGCAAAAGCCCAGAGGCAGGAAGGAGCAGGCAGGACAGAGGACCAACATGCAGTGTGCTGTGGCTGGTGTGTGCAGACGGGACATTGTGTTGGTTTTAAAGTTTGTCCACAAATTCGTTGACATTCTTCCTTGCAAAAGGCAGAGGGGGATCCCTCTCCCTCCACTGAGAGCAGGAGTTAGTAACTCACTCCTAGAGAATTGAGTTGGAGGGCGGAGGGCGAATGAAGGAGATTAGGGTGAGGGTATATGGTAGATGGATGTCATATACTTATGAAACAGAACAAAGAAACCTTGTAATTGCTTTAAGTAGGGCGGGGAGGGAGTTGAGGGGGAGAGAAGATGGGGGTGATCTAAGTAATGTATTATATAAATCTAATCACAATTGTCACTATGAATCCCCCCATATAAGGAATATATTCTAATAAAAAAATTTATTTAAAAATTTGAGTAGGAATGGAAGTGGTGAGAGATGACTTCTAGGACCAGATCACATGAGACGAGAGCCTCCTTCTTGATCTGTCATGGACCACCACTCGTCCTGGGAGAGGCCAGGCACCATGTCATGAGCTGTTTGGAGGAACTCATGTGATAAGGAGCCAGCAAGGCGAGTGGGCCCCATGGCAGTGTGTCCTCCCCTGCCAGGCCTGCCGATGGCACGGCCCCAGCCAGCAACTGCAAGGAAAGCCCCCAGCCAGCCCCCACAGAAACTGGGATAATGAATGTTTACTGTTCCTTTAAGCCATTGTATTTTCATTTCATGGTGCTGGGGATGGCACCCAGGACCTTGCTAGACCAGCACTCTGCCACTGGGCTGCATCCCCTGCCCTTAAGCCATGTTTTGAGATAATTGATTACACAACCATTGACGAACAATTCAGGTGTGCTCTGGGGAGCAAACAGTGAGGACCCCCAAGAGCTTCTGAGGAGGGGAGGGATGTGCTAAGACCAGATGTCACTGAGCCAGACAGTTAAGAGGCTTCGCTTTGTCACTTCCACTTACGGGTTCTCAGTTTCCTCATTGGTCCATGAGGAAATCCTGGGCCAGAGGATTCTAACGTGCCCCTCTCCCCTCCACCATGTGCCCCACAGGCGGACTACTTGAAGAACATACGCTGTGGCTGGAATGTTTGTCTCTCCAGACTCCTGTATTGAAGCCCAGTGACCCAGGTGATGGCGTTAGAAGTGGGCCTTTGGGAGGGGTTAGGCCACGATGGAATCCTCTGATGGAACCCTCTCATGAACAGATCAGTGCTGCCTGCCACATCACTGTGAGACGCCTTCACAAACCAGAAAAGCAGGTCCTCCCCACACACCAATACTTCTAGCGCCTTGACTGTGAACTTCCCACCCCCGGGAATAAAGTTTCTGGTGTGTTACAAGCCACCCAGCCTGTGGTATTTTGTTACAGGAACTTGAAGAATCAGGGATGTATCATGTGAGGTGCTCGGCATTTTGGGGCACTTGAGATCCCAGAAGAGGAGTTAGGACTACTGATAGTCACATCTTAGAGGGCGACAGAAAGACGGACAGAACCACAAGCTATCTTCTACCCACTGGGCAGCAGGGAAATGGGAGTGCCTGTCCCAAGGGCAGAGTGAATGGCACCTTGGACAATGTGAGGTAAGTGGGACCTCCAGTGGGACCCTCACCTCAGCCCCAGATGGCAGTCCACCCTCAGGCTGAGCCAGGGAGGAACTCTGCACTGCACTCACATCCATCATTCCACTTAATCCTCACCACAGCCCTGCCAGGAAGGGTTTTCATTTGAATTGATTAGTCTATTGATCGACACCAACCCTTGTTCCATAAAGGCTTTACAATGGCTTGCGGGGATTTACAAAACAGCAAGAGAGCAGAGAGAAGAATGGGGTGAAGAGAAGAAGGAAAATCAATAGCAGTACACAGAATGCTTGCTGGACGTGACCTGCACACCACCAGCTGGGCAGAGCGAGGCTCCCACTGGCCAGCTGACAGCATCCACCATACACATATAGTTTAAAAGGACCCGTTTCTCAGGAGTACAGCTGTTTGGGCACTCAGATGAGTGCCCCAGGGGTCTTTATGAAAAATGACAGTGTACACTGATCGATAACCCTAGACCCTTACAATAAATGGGTTCCAAGTTTCTGTTTCTTATAATAGCATACATCAAAGTGCAATTCAGGAAAAGCAATCATATAAGGAGTCACACTAGGCACTAAGTGGGGAGGAGGAGGGAAGGGAGAGGCAGAAGGATGAAGGTCAGCCCCGCCAGTGAGTGCAGAGGCATGGAGGCCTGGCAGAGCCTGGTGTAACTGGGGCATGGCGGAGGGTAGACCAGTGGCATGTGATATGATGGCCTTGTGGACGTTGCTCTGTGTCACAAAAGCCCCAGGCTGGTGAAGTAGGTGGGAGACTAAAAGCCATTGGGTGAGACATAGGACCAGGAACCTCACTCAGGAAGCTCAGCCAGCTCCCAGGGAGACTAGAGCAGGCCATTGCCCTCTGACTGGTTCCAGCCTCCAGAGCAGAGGAAAACAGGAAGTGCTGGAGGTCTCAGGCAAGTGCAGTGACCAGCAGCAAGGAGGGTTGGGGGGATGGAAGAGCCTGAACTTGCAGCAAGAAAGACTTGGGGTTTAACTCTGGCTTCTGCCATTCACCAGTCGCAGGCCAGGGAACCAAACAGATCTGGGTTCCCTGTTTGTAAGATACTGGCCACACAGAAGCTTGTGGAAGATTGAGTGAGATTGTGTGTCTAACCTTCTATCTTCCACCTGGGTCAGCAGCAGTCAGGGAATGCTGGATTTTGTCCGTCCACTAATGCTCCATGGTTGTTTCAAGCATGTCCACCAGGTGGCGCAAGAAACCGTCCCTGGAATTGCACTCAGCCACATCCCAAATGACTGGCTCTCTTCTGTCTCACCTGATTTCCTGCCAGACCAATTCTTGTCTCATCCTTGCCAAACCTGTTAGAAATAATTGCTGTTTCCGTTTGCAGGTGTTCTGCATGGAAATCCCCAGGGCACCGGTGCACCTTTACCGGGCCCTCAGCCAGGGAAAGTTTGTCTCCCTCAAACTTAGTCATTTTTGCCCCATCCTCCCATGGTGTCCTGTCACAGACCATCAAGTGAGGAGCAAGGTTGGGGTGTGACAGGACTGAGGGGAACCTCCTGGGAGTAGGAGGGTTCCAGACAGCAAATCTGGAGTAGTTGATGGCCTGGTCCTGGCCACAGGGAGGTGGAGGATGCAGAGCCTTGGGGAGGGAGGAACTCAGGGCAGTGAAGGGGTAGCACACACTGTGGAGCCAAGGTGTGAAGAATGCCCACAGCTGAGTGACACAGTGAAGATAAGCTCAGCAAGCCTTGGCCCACCCACATCATGTGGAGTCAGGTAAGACACCCTCTCTGGCTTCAGTTTTCTCATCAGCAAAATGGGAATGGAAGGTGACACATACCTGTCTATTACTCCACCTGTGCTGATAGTCTTTCAGCTCCTTAGAACCCTCCTGCCAAGGGACTTTTGCACTTCCTGTTGCCTCTGCCTCAACTGTTCTTCCTCCACTCTTTCCCCAGCAAACTCCTATTCATCCCTCATACCTCAGTGTGCAGATAACCTTCTCTAACCCCTAACTGCCTTCTACAGTTTCCAGAACTCCCTGCCTTTCCTGTTCAGCACCAATCCAGGATTGTAAAGAAGAACAGGTGTATTGAGTGTAATGAAATACTGACATTTGACTCATACCCATCTTCCCCCAGACCATAGTCTGCTGAAGGTAGTCTCTTTTGCTCCCATTGGATCCTAGGGCCTCATGCACTGCAGGGTCTCAGCAATTTTTAACTCATGTGATTCTTCTGCTCCAATCCTCTGTGTTTTTCTGATGAAAACAAGGGGTTAGATGTTAGGCTACATGCTGAGAAGGGGCAGCTAGGGGTTTGGGGCAGACAGGCTGGCTCTGTGTCATAGGAGACCACAGGCAACTTGTACCTGCTGTGCCTGGCTGGGCTAAAGACCCCACAGATGAGGGCTCTGACGGGGGAGAGAAGTGTTGAATAGTCACCATTCTGTTGATGATGCCTCTTCCCCAAATCCTGATGGAACCCTCGGTAGTTCCAAGGTGGCACCAGCAGCCTCACAAGGAGAGTCAGACAGCCACTAAGGCAAGTGAGCAACTATCCTGGAAACTTCCAGGGAAGAGAATCCACTCTGGGGTGTGGGGGATTCGGGCAAGTGTCCTGAAGGCAAAGATCCTCCCCCCAAATGCATAACTTGCACCCTGTCACCCAAGGTCAAGGGCTCTGAGGAGGCACACTTCTATCAACAGCAGCCCCCACTGGACGTGGAATATCCCTGTGACCCCAGCCAGCCTCCTTCCCCTGAGAGGAGGAACAGCCAGCCTCCACCCCCAACTTGGGCACCGTCCCCAGTGCCATGCTCCAGTCCCCTCCTGTGCACTCCCTCCAGGGTGGAGAGCCAAGGTCAGTACCCCTTGATCTCATGGCTAATCCCCCCTTCCTGCTCTAACCTGTTGGGTCCCTGCCTAGCCCAGCCTCTAAGGGGATTAGCAGGGGCCCAGCCAAAGCTCTGGGCTCCAGCCAAGCTGCTCTGTCAGTCTTTTAAGTCAGGCCTGTCCCCGCACCCCCTGCAGCCTGGCTGGTTATCCTGAGCCAACCCCACACAGGGCTCTGGGGCATCTCATTCAGGAGACTGTGGGATTGAGGACTCAGCCCTGGAGCAGACCAAGCAGGCCACATACCCTGGGTGCCTTGTGTGAGGTTTCTAACCCCTGCGGTCTCAGCTTCTCTTGGTAAACGGGGAGTAACTGCTCTTGGTCAGGGCAGTCACTTGCCAACCTTTGTCATTGTCTTTTGGGTTCTATGGGAGAAGCACGGACACTCAGAGCTGGAAATAGGGGATTGGGGGTGCAGGGAGTGAGGCTCAGGCAAGTTCTGCACTAACCCATGGCCTGACCTCAGGCAAGACTCCCAGTGAGTTCCCAGTGCCTGTGACAATGCCAACCTCCCAGAGTGTGAGTCATTCTCGGTGTGCCCACCAGTGTCTGGTTCCTTGCCTGACACAGCCTGTCACTGCTACATTTTTTACAGGAAGTCATAACATGTTTTAATGTCCCAGCTAGGGCTAAAGCAAATAAGGTCGTAGCCCCTGTGCCCAGTCAGCACCTCAAAGCTCCTTGGACACTGTCACTCCCAGTGTGTGGAGAGAAGGAAGAAAAGCTACTGGCCCCTCACCTTGGGCACTGGGCTGCATGGAGGTGGGAACAGTGAACAGCTGCCCCATAGGCCCTCCATGCACGCCTTCTAGGGAGGAAGAAGGGGAAGAAGGGAAATTGCCTGTCTCTGCTCAGCACAGAGGCCACCTGACAGCATAGATGAGGAACAGGCAGGAGTCAGTCCTCTGCTCATAGCACAAGGGCACCTCAGCACCCCAGGTCCCATTGCAAGATGCCCTCACTGAAGGGAGGCTAGCAAAGCCCATGGGCGGGATATTGAGGCACACACTGGTCCACTCTTCCATGTCTCTGCCTGTCCTGTAGGCCTCCCCATAGATCCTATGCCTCCCACTTAGGAGGGGAACTAATTCTGCAATTGCCTGTCCCTGCCTGTTCTCCTAGCCCATGGGACAGCATTCCGGTGCCCAGGTGTTTATGTAGGCAGCATATTGCAGGTGTGCCCACCTATTTCCAGGCCAGGAGCAGGTTCTAATTCACCTTCAAGGTAGGGTCTGAGCATTTGATGACAAAAACCTGACCGGTGCTGCCTTGGGCTCCAACCTCAATGCAGAGACCAGGACTCTGCCTGTCCATAAATCTCACGTGCTCCCAGAAGATGTGCATCCACAGCTCATCAGTCAGCTGATTCTGGGTGCAAGCAAGTCTCGCATCTTCTCCACAAGTCAAGTTTGGGTCAGGGCAAGGCCAGGGTGCAAAGGAGACCAGGGCTTCCTGTCAGAGGGGCTCACTGGTGGGTGAAGGGGAACTGGTCCCACCCACCACAAGCCCTTCCCTTTGATGTTGTCTCTGACCTTAACAAAACCCGGGACAGGCCCTGGAGCTCCTCTGCCTCCTCAGCCTGGCCACTATCCTCAGACCCTTCTCCTCCACCCTTGATGCTGGCCACCAGCATCAGGCCAACTGGCGCCAGTGGCTGCAGCTCCCCAGAAAGTTTTTCTGTGAGGGGAAGAGCTCAAGGGGGCCAGGTGGCCTTGTCCAAGCCAAGCTCAGCACCAACTGGCTGTCTCTTTGGGCCTCAGTTTCCTTGTGCGCAACATAAGCTTGGAAGGGGAGACTGGCACCCAGTAGGTGACAACTGTACAGTTGGGAAGGCTTAAAACTACCAGTGCCAACTATGGAGCAGTCCAGATCTGTGACCTTGCAGAAATTCCTGTCCCCTCTCCTTGCTCCCTCTCGTAGATAATAAAATTTACAGAATGAAAGTTCAAGCATGCTCCGTAAGGTCTTGGGATTTAAAAAAAATAAAAACTAGTGAACACTCTCCAAGCCGCTATGGATGGTCTGAGGCTGCTGTCATGAATGTGGCAGGTTTGAGTTTTGTCATTTATTTGCTCCTGTTTCCTGAACACACACCTTGTGCCAGGCACTGAGAGCTGCAGATGCCTCCTTCCGTGTCAGCCACAAAGCCCACCAGCTCTCCCTCAGCAGCCCATCCTCCCCCAGCCTGGCAGAGTCAATGTTCCAGAAACCTCATTAGGAAGGGACAATTGCAGGCCTGGATGGCTGCACCAAAAACCCATGCTGGGTGACAGTTCCTTGAACTGGGCTGTTTCCTGGGCAGTTCCAAGCGTCACTTGCCACAATAGAGACATCAGAGAGGCCCCTCTGCAAAGCAGCCCTCCTTTGGAAGCTAACTTTGGCCCTGACAAGGAAAAGTGGCTCAGAGGCTGGCGTCCCACTCAGCACAGGGACACGCAGAAACAGACCCACTCTGCCTTTAATTCTGTTGGCCGTGGATGAGTGGCAGGCCCAGTCCCAGGTACCATGGTACCAAGCACGAAGACAGTCGGGGGAAAGGCAGGCCCTCTTGACGGCCAGGGCAGGGTCACATGATTCAACCACTGTGTAATGAGCTCTGAGGCCCAGGAAGCCCCAGGCATCCCGCTCAGTCCTGGGCAGGGATGCAGTGGGGAGACAAGACTCCTGTCCCAGATTCCTACAAGTGTTTAGGACCAGACACAGGGTGGGAGTGGGGAGGCAGTGCAGGAGAAAGACACAGAGGAAAGAACAGGAGCTTTAACCAGACAGCCCTCAGTTTGACTCCAAGGTCTTCCATTTGCTGCCTTTGTGACCTTGGGCAAGCCACTTAACCTCTCTGAGACTGATAGCTCCTGTGTAAAGGACGGCTAATCGCATTGCCTTCAAAAGCAGGTGGAGCTAATCTATTAGAAGTCAGGTTCATGGTTACTCTTGAACCGTGAACAGTGAGATTAGTGACTGGCAGGAAGTAGGAAGGAGCTTCCGGGGGCTTGTAATGCATCCCCTTGACCAGGTGCTGGTCATATGACTGATTTCACTTTGTGAAAATTTGGCGAGCTGTACACTGATTGGTACATTTTCTCTGTTAGACTTTAAAAAACAGCTTTAAAAAGAAGGGAAGCCTTGATTCCATACCTGGTGCTTTGCAAAATTCAATGCATGCCAGTGTCCTCCTCCCTCAGTCCCCACTGCAGGGGACAAATGGGGACAGAAATCTCCTGAAGTGAAAAATACCAGGAGAGGAAAGGGCTCATAGTTTTAAGCTGTGAGGAAATTTTCAGGCTGAGGGGAAGCTGCACAGAGGGCATCGAGGCAGAAGTCCCCACCTTGAATCCATGAGGGACTGGGACCAAGTGCCAACAAGGCACTGGGCAGAGCTAGGGTGGGGTGGTGGGTGGATCTGACTTGGCTGGGTGAAGACAATGCGTTTTCCAGGGTCTCTCTCTGGCACCACAGTACACATGCAGGTTCCACAGCTCCCTAAAGAATGGGGGCTGTGCCTGGCTCCAGGGATGATGCCTTCAGGTCCTGTTAGAAGGGCAGAGATGCTGCCACTGGACGGAAAGGACCTCAGGAATCAAGGGGGAAATGGACTGGAGGAAGAGCCAGCAGAAAGGTTCTGAACACCTTTCTACCTTGTTTCAGAAAGCCAGGAAGGCAACCCCAAGGATATGTTGCAAAATAGAGTAAGATAATAGGACTCAGGAGAAGAAAGGAAAAAAATAAAGACAGAACTGGGTAGAATTATAAAATGAGGTGGCCACAACTTATGAAACTCTTTCCTGAACTACACAGGCCCCTGGCTTCTCACAGCCTGGGAGGAAATCGAAGACTGAGATCTTATATGGTTTACCAAGTTTATAGGCAAACAAGCTTGGGAGAGGCATGGCCTTTCCTGGTTCTAAAACCAAGCAGCCCTGGTGGGGGAAGGGGGAGCAAGACCCTCACCAGCATCCCCAAGGGGGTGAGTCACCACTCTGGGTCACCTTCCCAAAGCCAAGTCATAGGTCAGCCAATTCAAAGGATGGATTTGCTACATTTCTTTGTTTTCTTTAGCAACTTGGTTTTACTTGTGATTTCCCAGCATTTTAAGGGTGGCTGGGGCCCCTGTCCTAGCTCTCTGGGGCTGCAGCCAGAGGCTGGGGGCAGGTTCACTGGAGGCCAAACACCAGGAGATGGGCAGAGACAAATGGAACAACCCCTTAAATGATGTGATAACGACAGAACACGAACCAGTCAACTCACATCACATAGTTAAAGGAAGTAAAGTCAATTTGATGAATTGATCACTTGACAAATTGGCCATTCAGTGGATTGCCTTTTGGCAAATTGGCTTTTAGCAAAATGATGTTTGGTAGATGGGGCTGATTCTGACATAGCCATGCTTTCACAGGAAAATTACTTATACAGTCCCAGCCTGGGCTTGAGGCCTGGCACGGGAATGCAGAAGTCATCCTGCAGAGGGTGGATCCACTTTGCCTCCTGCATGACTCTCTGCTGGGCATGTTATAGCCAGGATGGTCTCAGGATATTTTTGAGTATTGTACATACTGCTCAGCATTCAGACCATCCTTCCTACCTGTCATTTTTCTCAGCTAAGCCAATTTACATTCTGAAGGGCAGACTCTCTGGGCTCTCCTTGATTAGGACTAGGGTGGACCTGAGATGAGGAAGAGGGACTTTTTTTTTTTTTTTTGATGCTTGCTATATAGTCCAAGCTGGCCTGAAACTTGCAATCCTCTTTCTTCCATCTCCCAAGTGCTGGGATTGTAGGTGTGCACCACCACACACCATGATGGGAAACAGGATTTAACATGGTTTTGGAAGACAAAAAAAAGAAAGAAAAGAAAAATATAAGCCAGATGTGGTGCATACCTGCAATCCCAGCTGCTTGAGAGGCAGAAGCAGGAGGATCTCTGTCTGAGGCTAGCCCAGGCAAAGTTAGCTCGAGATCCTATTTGGAAAAATACAAACTAAGAGCAATAGGACTGAGGGTGTATCTGTAGGAATACCTAGCAAGCAAGAGGTCCTGAGTTCAACTCCTAGTACTGGAGGGGGTAAGGAGCGGGGTAGTGAGAGGAAGAGGGAGAGGAACAGAGGGAACACACAAAGGAGAAGAGCAACAGGGCTTGGGAAGTAAAATCTAGTCTGTGCTGGGGGAGGGGACCATGCCCCGGACAAGGAACCAAACTACAGTGGCTGCCATTCTAAGCTTCCCCAAGGAGAAGTTGAGAATGCCCTGGCCAATGTGCAGGAAAGATAATGCCAGGACAGACATCTGACTGAAGTCATGGAAGGAGCCACCAAGGAGGCCACCTGAGCATTACTGAGTCCCTGGGGATTCCTGTTCCCCTCTTCCAGAGCCTCCTGAGGGGAAGATGGAGCCATTTCTTTTGCCAGGCCCCATGCCCCATTAACCTCCCTTCCTCTGTAGAGTAGTGCAGACACTGTCAGAGTCTTGGCTTTGGGGGCATTTCAGAAGAAAAGGGGAGCTAGAGTGACTGGGATGGCAAGAGGCAGCCCAGCCAGCACACGGACAGTCCCATGTACTCAACCACAGACACACACAGGGATGCAGGAGGGGACAAGACCCCTCAACCGCCTCCCAGGCAGGCAGAAATGCAGAGCCTGCCAGTCCTAGTGCCAGGGAACACTTCTAGTTGACTCAGGGTGGTTCTGCAAGAGGCCTGGGTAGCAAAAGCCCAGAACAACTATGAGAAGCTGCAGAGAACGGCTTGGGGAGCTGTCCACGGTCCTGAACCCGGTCACTGGCTCTTCCTCTGCTCAGGGGTAGACATGCCTTGGATCCACATGCCACATTTCGTCTAGTCAGCTCTTCTTTTCCCTTTCCAAAGCCCATGGAGATTCCAGCTCATAGCACACACACTGCAAGCCTCAAGGGACCCACCCTTAGGCTCAGGACAGGCGTGTGCTGGGCACAACTCACATCACTACCCTTCTTCTACACAGCAGGGCAGTGTGGTCTCATGCCTCAGCCTCCAGAGTGCTGGGATTATAGGCATGAACAACCCTGCCCCACCTAAAGTCTATGTTTTAAAAAGCACTCTTACCGCACCTGTTTTCCCAGTAGTGTAACAGAGGCATAGTAACTTTCCTATTCTGTCTGCCTGCAGAGCCCACAGGTAATCAACTGTGCTACATGGGCTCAGCTCAAGTCATCACAGTGACGGGCAGGCGGGTGGGGAGACTTCTAGGAGCACACACATCAGCAGTGACACTCGACGGATGAACTTGGAAGGAGGAGGTGAATCCAAAGAAGCAGAGTCTGCAGAACAGTCATAATGTTGACACCAAGTCACGGAGAAAAGGTTAAGTAATATTCAGGGCCCTCTGTTTTATATCTTGGGTAATTATGTGATAAATTTTAGGCACATTCTTATCAAAAGATTCACGTGCTTTCCCCAGGCAGCCATGCTACAGGAAGAGCAGGATGACTAGCACTGTCTGGGGACTTCTTGCCACCCTGGATCTGTCACTCCTTCCAAACCCCCCTAGGTTGAAAAGACAGGCCATAAGCTATGGATCCCTGAAGTGAGGAAGTTTGGTAAGGAGTCAATGACAGGTACACAGTTGCATTTGAACTGAGTCCCCCAGCCTCTGAGAAAGAAGGGAATTGTGGGGAAGGCAGCAGGCAGGATCCAAGGCCATCAGTGACTGGCTTTTCATGGAGTCTCTGGCATCCCCTGGGCTCCCAACCAAGAGCCCCCAGAAGAGTGAGTGACACCAGGGCTCCTGTGCCCTGTCTCCTCCAAGTTGTGGAAATGTTGGCTAAGTCTGCAAAAGCCGAGCACAGAGGGCATCTGTCTCCTGGCATGTGGTGCAGCAGCTTCTGGGAGAGGCAAGCCAAGGGTGGTGGGTGTGAAGACCAGAAGTTGTGTCAGGGCTCAGTTTCATCTTAGCCTCCAAGTTGGCCCAATTCTGGATTCTCTAGAAGGAGCAGAAACATTCTCCTAATTCTACAGCCTGCTCCAGCAGCCTGGTGAGTGAATAAACTAACTGTGGCCTTCCCAGACAATGGAGTACTATTCATGCTTGAAAGAAATAAGCTATCAAGTCACGAAAAGAAACAGAAAATGCAAATGCTCATTACTAGAAGAAAGAAGCCAGCCTACACACTATGATTCTAACTATCTAGCACTCTAGGAAAGGCAAAACTCTGGAGATGATACAAGATCAGTGTTTGCCAGAGAGAGAAATGAACATGTAGTGCACAGAGGATTCTTAGGCAGTGAAACCATTCTTCATGACACCATAATGCTGGACACATGTCACTGTCACTGCACATTTGTTCAAACCCATTTGTCCATTACCAAAAGCGAGCCTCCTGTGGGCTGTGGGTAATGCTGACGGGTCAATGCAGGTTCACCGACTGGAATGTCCCTGAGGCTGTGGATGATGGAAGGTTGAGCATAATGGCAGCAGGGGGCGAGCAGGCACTCTGTACCCTCCTCTCAATTTTGCCATGAGTCTAAAACTGCTAAAAAAATTCAAGTCTATTAACAGAAAAACCAAGAAAAAAAAAACAGGTATAGGTGCACAGTGGGGACTGTGGACTGGATAGGTGCACAGTGGGGATGGTGGACCCCTATCCAGGGGTCAGACCCCTGCCATAACCCCTACCTCCAACACACACAGCTGTTGGCACAGGGACCCTGCCCTGCAAATAGCAAAGGTCTGTAAACTGGGCCCCTGCTGCCTTTGTGACAATGTTGGGGTGGGAAGGGCCAGGCGCCTGAACAGAAGCCACCCATCCCCTCCAGGCACCTTCTCACCACAATTTGCACATGCTTCACTGTCCCCACCCTCTCCTCTGTGGTCACTCAGTATCCCCAGTGGTCTCTATCACTGCACCTGCCACATCACAGGTCTGTGAGGCTACATAGAGCTTGTCAAAAAACAAAAACAAAACAAACAAACAAAAAAACAGATATCTGGGCCCCACCACAGAGATTCTAATTGTATTGATTGGAGTGAAGCCTGAGCCCTGGAACTTTTCAAAGCAACTTTTTCAAATGACTTGCAATGTGCAGCCAGGGTCAAGAACCCTATTCGATACATCCTCACCCCTAAGCCTCCCCGCCCTGTGCCCCTACAGTCCACCTCCTCATTAGCCTTTTCTACTCAACCAAGCTGTGTACCCAGGAAAGACCTATTTGTAGACTGGGTGAAAGTTGCTACTAAATTCAGATAGTTGAGCAGACACCTGTGTGTTTTTCTGAGCGGCTATGCCCAACTTTCTGTCTCCTACTGACATTTTCAGGAGGAGGAAGAATGAAGGAAGGAACAGAGATGGGGCTGAGGCTACCCTACCCTGTGGGTGTCAGGAGCTCGATGTGACCACACCCATGAAAGGACCACATCTACCACACCTATGCCATGCTCCCCATGTCCTCACGGCCTGCCACCAGGAGGGGCCAGAGATCAGGAAACAGGCTGGTCCAAGTTTAATGGATCAATAAGCTCAGAACACAGCACAGAGTCGCAGGCCTCGTACTCCTAGCAGCTGGACACCTCAGGCTGCAGCCTGCAGGAAGAATTGCAGGAAAGTGATGGCTGCACCATGGGGGCTCGGGAGGAGCAGCCACCTGGCAGGAACGGGTGCTGCCAATGGCAAAGCCCTGTGGTGGAAAGGCAAGGGGGCTCAGAGACAGAGAGAGATGGAGATGGAGCCAGAAGCAAGAGACCAATAAAGAGAATGCTATAATTTGGATGTGAAACGTCCCCCAAAGGCCACGTGCTAAAGGCGTGGTGGCAGCTGTGGCGTTATTGGGATGTGGTGGAGACTTTGGGAGGTGGGGCCTCACTGGAGGAAGTAGCCCTTTGGAAGTGTGCCCTTAAAGGGGATGTTGGGACCCCACCCTTCCTCTCTCCCTCTCTTTGCTTCCTTGCCACCATGAGGGCAGAAGCTCTGCTCTGCTGGGCCCTCCCTGCCACGTACCACCACAGGCCTCAGCGATGGGGCCAAGCAACCATGAACAGAAAGCTCTGAAACCATGAGCCAAAAAAACCCTTTCCTCCTTTAAGTTAATTGCCTCAGGTATTTTGTCACAGTGATGGGAAGAACTAACCCAGAGAATAGGAAAAAGAGAACAAAGAGGAAAGAAAAGCAACATGAGAAATGAGAAGAGACACTGGCTCACAGCTAGTGAGAAAGGCAAAGGCCCTGGTGGCAGGGGATGAGAGGGAAACTCAGGGCACTCGGCCTTTGCAGCAGCAAAAGGTGGCAGCGCCACACCTGACAGCCAGCCAGGGTGCAAATGAAGACCGCTGAGCCACCGGCTTCACTGTGCTCACACGCCAGGCTCCAGCCATCCCAGTGGCTCTCCCTAGGCCTGCTGGCAGGTGGGGACAATTTGCCAGTGGCAGAGGTGTCAGACTCTGGGGATGAGTGTGAAGCCCACACTCATGAGACACGTCATATGTGACTAATCCAGGCAGAGGTAGAAATGGAGTCACTGCAGGCCCTCCCTGAATTAAATCCCTACAGGAGTGGCGCCCTGTCCTCACGCATGACTGGGGAAGGAAGGCTCCGGAGGGAGGACTGACTGCCTGTTGGCCGTGGGTGAGGGGATCAGGGCCAGTAGGGACAGGCTGCCCTTGCTGAACGGAGGGACAGTGGGGAACAGGACACGCTTTACCCTCACACCACAAATCCAACAAAGAGCAGAACCTCTGGAGCCAGACTGTCTTGGTTCAAATCCTGGCTCGGCTTCTTACCAGCTGAGTGACTCTGTGTTTGTCACCTAACCTCGCTGTGCCTTGCTTTCTTCTTCTGTAAAATGGGAATAATAAATACTAATGATATCTAGCTGTATCTAGCTTGATGAGTGAATATGCATAAAGGATCCTGATCCTTGCTGCTGCTGCTATTCATCTAGCCCCTTTAAAGACTTGGGCATAGGACTGGGGGCTGGGGCAGAGAGGTGGCCAAGACAAGAGAGGTGCTGGCTTCCTTGGACTCCATTCCAGTGGGGAGCCAAAAGCCATGGATGGTGCACCAAGACAGAGAGCCTGGGAAGGAGAGGCTACTGCAACCAGGGTGCTAGGAGGGGAGGAGGCTTCTCTTTCTGACTGTGGAGAGCAAATGGCCTGGAGTAGGGAACGTGCAGAGTCCCGAGAGAAACAGCAGGAAACAGGCTGCAAGGGAAGGATGTGCTTGAAGTGTTAGGGAGCAGGGAGGAGATGAGACTGCGATGCAGGCAGGGATGGAGTCTTGGGAGACTGCAGCAGCTAAGGTGCAGCCTGTCATGGCTTGGACACTAAAGAGTTGGAGAGGGCTCAGTGCCAGGCAGGTGGGAAGTGACCGACACCTTCAGGGCTGGCTGTGGGCAGGAGATTGTTCTGTGGGGAGCTGAGCGAGGCAGTGAGAGTCGAGCCCTCTGGACCCAGGAAGTGGATTTTTAGGGTGGAGAGACTGAGGCATAGGACGGACAGATGCCCCTCACACCATTCACACTACGTCCTGTACATTGTTTTGGGGCTGTCACTGTGGTTCATCTCTGAGGAGGTTGCCTTGCCAGCCCAAGACCATCCAGCTGGCACTGGGGCATGGCTGGATCCTAGCTCCTGCTAACTCGAGTCCCTGCTCTGTCCCCTGGGGCAGAAGCAGGCCATGGAGGCAGCCCTGGCTCTGTCCACAGGACTGTCCTCCCACTCCTAGTGCAGCTGCCTCCCCCTGGAAGGGAGGTCTGTTCAATGCTGGAGAAGCAGCTGGAGGAAAAACAGCTGACTGGGCCAGAGACTATTCACACAGCCAGGAAAAACCCACCTGTCCCGCACACACCTGCTGTGCTTGCCATCCTCCTGTCACCTACCTCCATAATTCCGATTTGTCTCCTGCAGAAGGGAGGCATTATTGAGCCAAAGCATGTTTATTTTATGTTTTTCCACTGCACATGATCTTTTTAGCTGCGTCTGAACACCAGCCCATTCAGGCCTGTTCAGACTCATCCCATGCATTGGTCTGCTCCCTCCTCCTGTGGGAAGGAGAGATGTTTCTCCACAAAGCTCTCAGGCTACTGACGGAATGTCCCTCTGTCCCTCTAGTCATACCTGACTAGGGCCTGTATTCTGTAGTTTACACATGAATTTGCAGATTTTTTTTCATGGTACTAAGGTTTGAACCCAGGGCCTGCTTGCTAGGCAGGCCCTGCACCACTTGAACTATACCCCTAGCCCTAACCTGTAGAATTTTGTGTGGCAGAGCTGCACATGATACTGTCTGGAAAAGAAAGTAACCCCCGGGGCTCACACCTGCAATTCTTGCTACTTGGGAGGCTGAGATTGGGAGGATCGAGGTTAGAGACCAGCCCAGGTAAACAGTTCATGAGACCCCCATCTCCAAAACAACCAGAGCAAAACGTACTGGTGGGGCTCCTGCTTTGCAACTGCAAACAGTTACAAACCCAAGATCCACCAAGAAAAGTAACTTCGACACGACCCAGCTTTCTGTTTAAGTTGGTGATATGATGTCAGTGTTCTTGTCCTTCACCGAGTACAAGCTCTCAGCCTCTCAGGCTCTCTGTGTCCTCACCAATGAGTCACAGAAAGCTTCGGCAACAGTGCCCTTATATCTGTTTGAGAGCAGAGCCTCTGGTCTTCACAATTACACACCGCCAGTACTTTCACCTTCACTTTGCAGAGAACGCAGGGCTTTGGAGCCTGGGGAAGACTGGGGTGCATAGAGCTGGCGGGGGTCCACTGCCACAGCCCATCATCAATCTGCCCTTGCAGTTCTCAGTGGAAGGGCCTTAGTGACGACCTGAGCAAACTCCCGTGTGTTACAGTGAGAATAACTCTGAGACCACATGCTGGCGAAGACAGAGGGCCACCAGGGCACAGAGACGCTTCCTCACAACCATCGCCTCCCCTTACATGTATCTCAGGTCTTTGCTCCACCCAGGCCACCCACACAGAGCAAGAAGGCATGGCCGCCATGCAGTGAGATCCTTTGCCAAATGGCCAAGAAGATCTATGCAGAAGTTGTTGAATGAAAACCTTTCAGAAAATCTCTGACAAGAGGCTGACTCCACTGGAAGAGGTACCTTTTCATCTTTCCCTTTTTTTCTTCTTCTTCCTGCCTAGGATCCACAGGAGATGCGTGACCATGAAGTTACTTTGAGGCTGGAACAGAAAGCCTGAGAATGTCGGAGCAAATGAGAAGAATGCTGAAATCCTGACTCTCAGGTGACCCAAGCTGCCACACTTCTGTGTGAAAAAGAAACTTACACATCTTAGTTTAAGCCACTTTTTAAACAGTTTTCCTTTATATAGAACCAAATCCAAACCTGGCTGGCACAGAAATGAACTTTGAAGAGAGGGGTTGGACAGGAAGGAGGGAGGGAGGGAGGGAGGGAGGAAGGAAGGAAGGAAGGAGGGATGGCTCTAACTGCAGGGCATCCACACATTGTGGCCAGCAGCCAGCTGCTGCCTGCACCGAGCCTTAGTGCTGTTCTCGCAAACAAAACCATTTTCCGCAGAAGGTCCTCTTCTTGGGCTTCCATGCTCCGTCTCCATCTAGTTCCATCTCATCCCTTCAGATGCCAGCTCTGGGACAGGAGAGGGGACACAGCATGTCTCACATGTGGCAGGGCAGGACTGACCCAGGTGGCAGTGAGATACAGAGTGAGAACCACAGCCTGCCTTCAGGCGCCAATGGGCTCCTGACGCTGGGGCTGGGGCAGGCACCTACCACACATGGCAGGGACAGGAGTGACAGCCACACCCATCAGACCCTTTTGTGTGAGGCCCTATCCCTGACATCATGCTGAGGGGAAGAATGTTCCAGATCCAGATTCCTCCACTGGCTGTGTGACATTAGATGAATCCCAATGCCACGCTGGGCCTCCATGTCCCCATCTACAAAATGAGGCCCCTACTCCTTCATTTCTTTTTTTTTTTTTTCATTATGACTCCTTCATTTCTAAGGCCATGCTTCTCAGACCATCACACACACACAACCTGCTGGGGTCTCGTGGACACTCGCCAGCCAGCCACACAGCCCCCTCAGAGCTGAGAGCCACCCCACCCGCTCTGCATTGCCACGCCACACCCTGATTTCGGGCACCGTTAAGTCTCAGCTCAGGGACTCAGCCATCCTGCCTTCACTTTTCCCTTTCCAAACAAAATTTGAGATCCCACTTTTTTTTTTTTTTTAAATCACAGAAAAGCTGAGAAAAGAAAACAAGTACTTCCTCCGCCTCCACTCTGCTCCCATGCTGGCTCACTATTACTCGTCTTCGTATCCCTGTCATGTTCCCCTGCCCCCACTGTCACTCTAGTCCCACGGTGTCCCTTGTACCGTCAGGCTCATTCCTAACAGCTCTGATTGAAGCTTGGATCCCGCTGCCTTCACACTCCCTCATCATTATCGCTGGAAGCTTCCAGCCGCCAAGTTAAAAGGGCTTTGCAGAGCACAGAGCAGGAGGGGCCAGGAGCGAAATGTCAGTGGCTTCACACTCCTACCTCTCAGACATCCCCTCCATCGCCAAGTCCCAACGTGACCCCCGGGGACCTCCTCCCAGCCAGCCCAGTCCCCAGGGCCAGTGGTTTGCTGCTGCTAGAGAAATTCAGGGTGTGAACAAACCCTGAGAGGCAGAGAAATGAAATCCTAGTCCTATTTAGTTTTGTACTGCACGAGGGCCACCAAGAGCCTCTTATCTTCACTCACACAAATGCAAGCTGCCAACTGTCATCTGCTGAGCTCATTGCCCTCCAGATTCTCTTCAGAATTCAGCAGTGCCCAAAGCTCCCATTTTCTCCCGGGGATGGGAGGAGACCTGGCATTCAGCGGGACACGGGCCCTGCCCATATGGGGCCCTGGACAGACTCCCTGTCGGTCCCCTCCCCAGAGGCCTTGTACATACACCTGCACATCAAAGGCTGAGTCCACACCCCATCCTTCCTACTACTGAGCTGCTGAGCCTGAGAAAAAGAAGCCTGGCAGCCAGGAACCCCTGGACGCTTTGCTGTCTCTGATGAAATTCACACTTGTGTTTTATGTCTGCCCAGCAAGGTCAGAGGTCATGGGAATGCATCTGGCTTATTTTGAAACCCCGGTTGCAGAAGGTCTCACAGACCACTAAATAATTTACTCCTAGGTCATAGAGGCAATGATTCTTACAGAGAAAGCATTTCCAACTCAATGCACTAAAACGTCAGTTTATTAAGATGGGGGGGTGGGGGAGAGAAGAGAGAGATGCTTCTGTGAGGAGGAATGCAAGCTGTTAGAAGCACAAAAAGAACCCACAATTTGGATTGCTGTTTGCTTGCTAGACATGTTTCGCCTTTCCTAAGTGGACACTAATCCAAGAGCAAACAGTCTACAATTTTAATTCCAGGTCAAGGAGCCCCCTCCAGAAAGTCTTCCCTGATTTACCCCACTCTGACTATTCATTTACTTTGGTCTGCTCTGCAATTCACTGTATCCACAGCAGAACACAGAATTTCTCATTGTGCTCAGTATTCAAGGAAAGCCTTTCCAGATACACACTGTCCACGGTCAACCACAAGGCCTTGTCCTCCTCTGCCATTCTCCATGAAGACAGATGACAGGCTGTGTTTGGTTGTTCAAAGTGCCTTCCATTTACACACACACACACACACACACAGCCACCAGCACCAGCTTGCCAACTTAGTTAATATTATCATTTTGATATCACTGTTTCAAGTGAAGCCCATTTTATAGTCCAATTTGCAAATTCTGATCACACAGTGAGCTGCCAAGTGTCTTGCAAATCAGCAGCTGAACCATCCCAGCTGGAGCAGTGAGTCCCCAGGCGCCTTCCATGGAAAAGGCAGCAGCCAGCTGTGGTTGGGATGCAAATGCACACAGGTATGGCCCTGGCAGTCACAGCCCAATCCCACGAACAGAGACAGGGACGATCCTCTCAGCCACTGCTGCTAGAATGGTCAGCAGCACCGTGCAGCACGTCTCCTCTGCACAAAGGCCTTGTTGCTGGTCCCAACTTGGAGCCCAGGAGACGGTTCGGGGGTGGGCCCCTGCCAGGAGGGAGGCAGGAGCACAGAGTTTAACTCAGACTGACTCCAGAGCCCAAGTCTTACTGGAGACACTGTCCCCACCACCTTGGACTAAGAGCAGGACGGGTGCTTGGTACCCACAGGTAGGGCCACATGCCAACTGATGGCTGATGGGAGTCAGTGAGAGGAAACCAAACCCCCCCGGCTGGAGGGGCCTGAGGGGCATCCAGAGAGAGGGGGCACATATGGGAGAGGAGGACTGAGAGCAGCGCCAAAACGCCTGGTGCCCAAGTGGTGGGTGCAGAGAAGCAGGTGGGAAGGTGACTGGGCGGGCAGGTGCCCTTCAATGCCAGTAAAGGCCAGTGGATTGAGCAACAGCCACAGGACCGCTGAGATCGGTCCTATGGAACAGGTTAGGGGATTGTTGTCCCCAGCTGGGATGAGGGCCACCAGATAAGCGATGTCTCAGGAAGATCCTGCCTGGTGCCTCTGGATGACCAGAAGAGGAAGAGGAAGAGGGAGAGAAGAGGCAGGGCAGCCTAGGAAGACACAGCAGTCTGAACGCCCCATGACAGGACTCCCAGCCCAGAGGGAGCTGGCCTTTCCCATATGTGAACACCATCTGGGGACCTCGGTGACCCTGACACGATGCTCCCCAGTTGGCTGAGGTGTGAAGCAGGGTCCCCCATGCAGGATCTCCAAGGACTAAACTGACAATGTGAAACTCTTAGCCCAGGCAGGGCTCTCAGCAAGCCTCGGTCATTGTCAACTGTGGAACTGATGAGAACGCACACAGGGAGGCTGGTAAGGGTCCCCCAAGGAATCTGACTGGGAGACACTG